GATGATTTATTATAAATTTATAATTGATTTACTACTAATTTACTAAAAAATTATCAATAATCAATTAAATTACTGCTAAATTATCATTGAATTTGTAATTAAATTATTAGTAATTGCTATCAAGTTATCAATTTATAACTAAATTATCAATGATTTACTATTATATTTTCATATATTTTCTATATGTTATTATTGATTTAGTACTTAATTTCTAGCTATTAACTTCAAAAATTATACCAATTTATCATTAAATTATTTATGGTTCACTACTAAATTATTACTGATTTATATTAAATTATGTGTGACTTACTATTAAGTTACACTAATTAACTATTTAAGCTATCGATGATTATTATTAAGTTATACTGATTACTTTTAAATTTTTTATGATAACTATTAAATTATAATTATTTATTACTAAATTATCATTAATTTACTGCTAAGTTATTTATAATTTACTACTGTCAATTAATTACTATTAAGCTAAAATTGATTTACTAATAAGTTATTACTATTTTACTAGCAAGTTATCATTAATCTATTATTAAGTTATCAATAATTAAAGACTAAGTTATCATTTATATTTTGTTAAGTTTTCTTTGATTTAGTATTATGTTGTTATACATTTACAACTATATTATAATTGTTTTACCATTAAGGTATTATACATTTATTATTATATTATTACTAATTTACTAAAAAGTTATTAATTATTAACTATTAAATTATCATTCATTTACTATTAAGTTTCACTAATTTACTACTAAGTTATTGATAATTATTACTAAGTTATTCTGATTATATTTAGGTTTTCAATTATTTATTACCATGCATGTTACTAATTATCTACTACTATGTTATTGATTTATGTATATCCAAAAAGAAAATGACCATAATATATGCTAGATGATGTAATTTGTATGATAGATAAAGAAAGTAATAAAAAGTTTAAATGTCAATAACTTTAAAAGTATAAGTAAATGATCTTAATTTATTATTCATGCTTTAATACGTAATAATAAGTTAAAATCATAAACTTTTATACTAATCAAAACGAAATTAAATAAATATATACAATATATATTAAGTCAATATTTTTAAGATATTTTTTCAAATTTTTTAGTTTATAGTAAAATAGTACATATTAAGATAAGTTTTATTAATAATTTCTTTGAATTATTAGTATATGTATTTTCATACTTGTTAGTGAAGTACAATTACATATAAATTATTGAAAATTTTGAAGTATTCTTACCAATGAAAGTAATAAACTTTGACATATATTTTTATATTTAAGTATATAATTTTGAGTAAAACTTTTGTTATATATATGATAAAAGTAATGAGAAAAAATTTACAAAATAAAATTTATAAAAATTAAATAGACAATAATTTTGAAAAATATTAAAATCACAATAATTACCTTCGCATTTTTCATAAAAAGTTTCTACCACTAAACAAAAAGATAATATATTTTTAATTGTTGCTTCATTTTTATTACCATCATTCAAAGTGACCTTATTGACATTTTGATACCAATCAACTTCTCCATTTGAAAAAAGTAAAGAACATTATAAGGGATCGTAACAATCCAAATAATATTTAACTCTTACATTGTCTTCCTAAATGAGTATGAACTATATATCTCTTTCAAATAAAAAATTTGAATCGATTTTCTTGGCCCAAATAGTAGCAACTTGATCAATAAATGAACGATTATAAATTAGTTTATCTAAATTAATATTTTTATAATACGAATTTTAAAATTCTTAAAAGAAGATATATCATTTAATGTCTATAAGATTTGAGCATAAGGATTTTCTTTTATAATTATAATTAGTATCTTCATGACTTTTACACTTAAATTTTTATTATGTTGTATTTTCATTCTATTTTAAAGTTTATTACCGATGTCATAAAAGTATAGTTAAAATAATATGGATTAATCAACTCAAACTTGAAATAATTCAAAACTCAAATTGAGTATAAATAAATTTTTTACTCATTTTAAAATTTAATTTAATTAAAGATAATATAATACATTTATAAAAGTGAACTAACTTGATTTGATTTCAATTACTTTTAAAAAATCAACAATTTAGTAGTTATTTAGAACTCAAAATTATTGAATATAACCAAAATTTGAATTGATATAGCAATCAAATCAGAATTTAATATTTTTTATTCATCTTCCGCAACAATTTAAAAATTCTTTATTTAAGCTTTTTTTTTTTGCATATTTAAGTCTTATTTTTATTGTTTAGTGGTTCGATTAATTAATTAATTTTAAGAGCATTTCTAAAGTGAAATTGTAATTATAACTAATTGAATATGCTTTTTTATTTGAATTTAAGACGATTTGAATATAGCTTTTTAAACAAAGAAAAACATGCATCAATTGTTGAGTCAAATTTATTCAGATACATAAGTAAATAATTAAATACACTAAATAAATGACAAAAATTGACTCAATCGAATTAGTCACTAATCGTAAGTCTAAACTTCAATTCGAAATTATGAAAAGTTAAAATTTAAAATAATTGAAATACTAAATACACAATTAAATAAAGATTTGTAAATTGAATTTTGCTAATTAATCTTGTAAATCACTTTTAAGTTTAGTTAAATTACAACTTCTATTAATATTTTTATATTAAATGTAATAGCCATAATTAATTTGATGAATTTCAATTCTTTTAAACAAATATTGTTTAATATGGCCAACTTTAAAAATTTGATATAATAGTAAATATTCTTCGATTGATATAAAGAGAAATTAAGGAGTATGTAATGTTTCTTTTAATAAAAGAGTTTCATATTAATTCTAAAAAATTTAAATCAATACATTTATATATTTTATTGAAATATCATATAGCATTAAGTTTTTGTTTTGTTTTTTCATATGGAGAAGATAGAGCTATGCATAACCAATCAATCTTTCGTCTTCTCTTTTTTGCTTAGGATAATCTTCCATTGGTACTTTCATCAATTGAATGTAATTATACATTCTATTAATTAAAAGCTTAAATTTTCTTTCATTTAAAATTTTTATTATACACAAATTTATTATATTCAATATAAAATACAATTTTAAAATTAAAATCGAAATAAAATATTCCTAACCTTGGTACTTCATGTTTTTTTTTTTAAATTTCAAGTCCAGAATAACAAACTTGTTATGAAATAACCATACAATTACAAAAATTCATTTTAGCTTAACAATATAAATTTTTATGAAATGAACACAACTTTGGCATAAACCATTAAAAAATAGTTCCAAGGAATTGTTAAACCTTAAAGGGAATTCCATAAAAAACAATTAAATAATTCCACTTGATTAATTCTCTCTAGAATAATTCACGTTAAGTTCTTCAATCACTTAGATGACCAAAACTAGCAATTACACAAATTGATAAAGATTAAAAATCTGAAATATACATTAATCATAATTTGCATATTAAGAGATAAAGGTTAAACAGAATTAAATAATATATTTCAACAAAATGAACAATTATATAATTTACGAGACCCAAACTAACTATAGTAGCTCCTCACCCCGATAAATTTAATTCTATAGATGGAAAGTGACAATTAAAATTTTCAAATCACATAGTATTTAATTGTTGGTGAGAGTGTTGCAATGATTTTATTTAATTTGATATTATTTATTTTGAGAATAACAATTATAAGTAAGAATCAATTATAAACTCAGATTAAACTATAAGAAGAATATGCTAAAAAAATTAGTTAAAGACTAAAAAATTATATTATCAAAATAAGATTAAAGATCGCTTTAGAACACATGTAAATAAAAAATCATACAATAACATATATATTAACAAAATCTATTAAAATAAAAATTGGAAAGGCAAAAATAGAAAAAAAAATAATATGCTTCAATGACTTAAATATGATATCTTCAATGAATTTAATTTATCAACATAAACTATATACACAATTATTTTTACAACAATTAAAAAATAAACTCCATATAATTGTTACTTCTTATGCACGCTAAGCTTGATCTCATTCTATTTGTATTTTTTTTAATGTGAAAAATTATTCTAATTATAAAAAAGGAGTCTAATAATAAAAATTTATTTAAATTAAAATTTATAAAAAAAATCTAATGATATTTAATCAATTACATTTAACATTTTTGAAATTAAAATTTATTAAGGTAGTTTTAATTAATCACTTTTAACATTTTTTTAATCTAATAATAACAAAGAAAATCCATTTAAGTTAAAATTTATAAAAAAATTTAAATAAAAATATTTTAGTCAATTATTTTTAATATTTTTTAATTAAAGTTTAAAATTTTAAAAAATTTAATGTCACATAAATTCTATTTTTAATTTTAGTTGATTTAAATTAATTAATAAAAGATATATTTTTAAAGATAAATTTATTAATTTAAAAATTCATAGAGATTTAAATCGATTACTTTTAATATTTTTTGAAGTGTATATATTTATATATAGATAATAATGAGATAACCATGTAACCGTGAAGATTTTGAACTCGTGAAAAAGCCTGAAGTATTTAATAATTTGTATCTTTGAAACAGGTCGTATACTTGTGATTTTGAGGTAATTTCTTGCTTTCAATTGTTCTCAATTCAAACACCTTTTTTATTAATTTACATATATATTTTTACTAATATATGTTTGTCTTAAAAGGAAAATTACTTTGCTCTCCTGCTAGATTACCTTCCTTTTTTATTACAAAGGAAAGTTTAACGAATAACCTCTATGATTTTCTTTCCTTTCTTCTTCCCTTAATAAACTTATGGAATCTTAGGGCTTCTTTATATATATATAGAGGGTTTCCGTGGGGATCTAAGGGAGAGAGGCAGCCAAAGGCTTCTGTTTTAGGAGAGCATGCTACTGGAGCTGGCTCTCTACCATATATAATTGGTGATATACTGACTGAGCTGTTGCTAAGTTCTAACAGTCTATCACTACTGTTAATTTTTATCCTCGAAGAGGGGCTTTGTCATGGAGCACTCAATAGCAGATTGGGCAAATCTTCATGATTCCATCCTTGTTTTGATCGTGGAGAAATTGGTTCTTCCGCTTTCCAATTATGTGCGTATCCGCACTGTTTGCAAGCCGTGGAACTTGGCTATCAGCAACAACACCAACCTACTCCGTAAAACCTTGAAGGATAGTTCCCCGCTGCTGATAATCCCTTCCAACGGAAACAGTGAAGAAAGGCTTGGTTTGTACAACGTGATTGAGGAAAAGAAATACCAGATGGAGCTGCAACTTCCTGTCAAGACTACTACGAGAGCATTCTGTGGCTCTTCTCATGGATGGCTAGCTATGTTTGATGCCACAACTTTAGCCATTACGCTTATCAACCCTTTCACCTCTGATGCTATCACTCTTCCTCTGCTTAATTATTCTGGTGATTTCTTCATCAACAAGGTTGTACTATCAGATGATCCTTACCTAAATCCTAAGGAATATTTTGTCATCGCCCTCGTCAAAGCCGATGACCATACACAAATTGCAATCATTCGACGACCAGGTGATATTGAACGTTGGGCTTGGATTAACAATCCAGGAGGTGATAAAATAACTGATGCTATTTTTCGCAACGGCGATATTTATGCTGTAGATTTGTCAAATAATATCATATCAGTTAAGAATTTTTCAAGCTTTGATGGCACAAGAAATTCAGCTATTAAGTCAGAGATCATTGTACGCGGGTCTGGCAGTAGACCAGCTATTATGAAATCATACATTGTGGAGTCATCTGCCGGAGATATTCTGGTCATCAGAAGGATTTTCAGGTTTGATCATTATAAGAAACATTACTTGACTAAAAATTGTAAGGTTTATAAGCTGGTCCAAGATGGAACTGAAGCAAAGTTGGTTAATGTAGAAAGCGTAAGAGATGATGCATTATTCTTGGGTGGGAACTGCTCCATGTCGGTTGCGGTCACTCAGAACTTCCCAGGGTGTCAACCAAATTGTATTTACTTCACAGATGACTATAACTTTATTTGTTTTTTGGGTTCAGAGTCAGCTAGGCTCTTAAAACCCCATGATATGGGTCGGTTTAAATTGAAGATGAATGGAACAATGAAACGATTTTACGATCCAGATCATACAATTTACAGCGATAAGCTATTTCCTATATGGATTTTGCCAACACTTAAAGGGCAATCAAGTGAAAGGTAGGGAGCTTCGACTCCAAGCTATAGTCAACAACCTCAAGGGAGCCAATGATAAGTTGTGCAGGACAGCTCCCTCCCTCAAGCTAAGGGATTTTTTTTAAAAAAAAAATTTATTAGAAATAGGGTTTTTAGACTTTGGATTCGGATTCTAATCTCAGCCATCAGCAACTTTCGCACGAAAGAGAGAGGATATATGTATTCAAGTACATTATACTATTAATGAGTATCTCAGTAATCTTATACCATTAATAAGTATCTCAGTAATCTTACTGCTTTCCTTTTCCTAAAGCATAGCATTACTGAATTTTTAAACTCTAAAAATAATAAATTAATAAGATATTATCATATTTTTTATTTATTATTAAGTTATTTTAGTAATATTTTTTATTATATATTTTAATAAGATTTGTGACAATTTTTTAATTTCATTAATCAAATTTAAAAATTTCATACACAATATTAAATAATTTTCTTTATATATAATATATATAAATATATTCAATATATATTTCAAATCTAATGATATGTTGCTTTATATAAGTATAAAAAAAAGTATAAAATTTTCAACTTAAAATGTCTTGACCCACTCAAATTCTCACTTCGAAATACTAAAAACTACTTATATATGTACCAAAAAAATACAAACATTGCGCCTTTAAAAAGAAATACCACATCATATATTTTATCTATACTTTTTGCACATTAAAAGAAAAATCTGCAAACTCTTTTCTTGTTAAATTAATGAAATTGTTGTAATTCATTTTTATGTATTTAATAATAAAATTATAAGCAGATAATTTATATAACATGTACCGCACACAAAGAATATGCAAGATAAGATAAGTTATTGAGTTGTTTTATTTATATACGCAGTTAAGAGAAAATCTCTAAAACCCAGCTGGATTTGCAATTAGTGCACCGAATAACTGTTATCTATTCATTCTCTATCAATCTGAAGCCACATACGAAATGAATGCGGACAATGGCACTTTGTCACATTTGAATCTAATTAGTAATAAAGGAATGCGATATATATATATATATATATATCAGTTTACAGTAATCTACCTTGTATATTCTTGATTTGATTCAAAGATTTTGAACTTATATAAACACAAAAAGGAGATTATAGAAGTTAATCATAGATCACTAAACTGTTAATGAACCCCTGTTGCAGACACATTCATACTGTATTTATATTTGAGGTAAGCCTTGATAAAGGCATCCAATTCACCATCCATTACTGACGTAATATTTGATGTTTCAAACCCTGTCCGTACATCTTTTACCAGTTTGTATGGATGGAATACATAGTTACGTATCCGCTGCCCCCACTCCGCCTTCACTGCATCTCCTCTTATTAGCTTAATTTCAGGTGCACGTTGCTCCTCAGCTATCACCAATAACTTGGCTTCTAAACGGCTAAGAGCCTTGATCATGTTCGCTAGCTGGGATCCCTTTTCTGCAATATGGCCAAGAAAATGTCATCAATATTGGACAAACGAAAATCGGAAAGAAACTATTGCATGACTGGTATAGAGCAAAAAAGAAAAGGTAAAGAAGGGGCAGGGGGATGAAAGAAGAAATAGCATGCCCTTTCTAACAGGGGAATGGTTCAAAATTTAAACAACATCCCCTCTTACTCTTTAACAAGCAGGAAGTTTCCTATTTTGACTATTAAAATCTAGGAGGTGCTTCCAAATAAGATGAATACCAACAGACATAACCGACTTTGTGATGGTTCTGATGATAATGCTGCTGAAAGGCAAAACTTTGATTAAGCTTATCGAATTTCATTGCACTTAGTTTCCTGTTTTAGTCCCTGTACATCCTTCAAACTTGGTTTTAAATTGCTTCTGTATTTAGAATTTTAGAAATTCCATAACATGTTATAATACACCCTTCCTCTCCCCAATCTCACAACCTCCCATGATTTATATCTAAAACCAAACCCACCCCTCCCCCCCTTAACCCCCTTTCCTTAGGGTGAAAACAAAAAAACAAAAATATTGACACAATGTTTTGCAAATAGGAAATGTAAATCCTCTGAGGTCTTCGGGGAGAAGAGGCATGACTTCAACACCAGAAAAGCTTGTCTGCATAACCCAATGTCAAGAGTTAAACATTCAGAGAAGGGGGCAAGGGGACGGAGATATTACAGCTACATTTTACATACAACTTTCTTCCAGTAATCGACATACTTTTTACGTTAAATTCCAAAGTTTAAAGAACTGTCATATTTCAATCTCATTTTGTTACCTAGAATTTCTCCTGCATTTGAGGAAACACTATTAGTTCCCAGGTTTATCAGAGTTCATCATGAGAGAGAAAAAGCACACAGATTTGACCTAGGAGCTAAATATGGAAGTGATTCCTGCACCTAAGATGTTAAAAGAAAAACTGCAGAAAGTCTGGGTTGTGAATCAAGGCTTAATCAAATAATAGTCAAACTGATAATGAAAGTAAAAAAAAACTAAAAAAAAGGTTCATTTATACAGTGAAGAAAATATATAAAAAATGTACATACACAAACAAAATCCAAGGACTATACCAGGCTGCATGACTATTAACTTGATAAACATTTTATAACCTAATACAAACAAAGAATGTTCAAACACAGCTTTTCATATTGCTTCACCGCAGCAACAATATTTAAATTCCTACATATCACTAGAACCAAAATTGTATTAAATTGATAGACAAATCTTAAAGGCTAAAGGAAAAACTCCTCTTTGGTCCTCTTTGAGTCTCCAAAAGTATGGAGCTTTCTTGTGACCTTTAGCTATGGATCCTCATTGTAAACTAGGATTCTCTATCCTCTTCTAGTGATTGCATGGCATCGACAGAAACAATCATGGTGAAGCAATTAGAGGGAGACGAGGGCCCAATGGGAATGATCAGCATTCATGAACAATCTGATTTCTCAACTAAAGGTCACAGGGGTCATATCTCTGTGTGGTTATTGGAAGTCTGATTATTTTCTCAAGGAAAAAAAATGGAAGAGGGGTCATTCTTTAAATTTTTTATTTTAAGTTTATAATATTTTAATATTAAATATTAATTTAATAATATTATAATATTATTTGAATAATATTTTGTATTAAATATTAATTTAATGAGATTTTAATATAATTTTAAATTATTTATTTAATTTATATAATATTTTACTATTATTTAATTATTTAATTATTATAATTTAATTTAATTAATATAAATTAATTATCTGATTAAATATTATAATTAAATGTGTAAAGAAAAAATTGAAATTAATTAAAAATATAAAGATAAAATTATCCATAAATATTATTTCAATTGCTGATGGACAAGAAATTGCAAATTTTAGAGTGAGTAAAGAATTGATATTTCTTATTTTTAAGAAATTAATATTCTATAAAATAACTATTCTTTATTAAAAGATTGGAACAAACAATAAAAAAAAATGGGGGGATGGAATTGCGATCCCCCCCGACCAAACATTACGTTAGTTTTGTGAAACAAAGCCAACCTCGTTAGCCTTCTGATGCAGCTTAAATTATAAAGCAGCGAAATCAATTTATAGCTTAATGAGTCCAGAAAAGCCTAGTAAAATTTAGAATTGAGGGAGTCCAATTATATAGGCCCGTTTAGGCACCAACAGAAAACAACGTCATAGTCTGATTCAATCACTATTCTCATTTTGCTACTCCATAGAGACTTTGTAAATACATCAATGCTATTCTAAAGCCCAACCACATTAGAAACTTGAACCCCACAGGCCTAGAAAACATAGCCAACACCGCACCTTCCTCATTCCTCAGTACACCAACTCACCCTGCAGGCTCAGAACTTCTTTTTGCCGATTCATCAACGCTAAATTTCAAAAAGGCTTTCGACGGAAGACTCTCCACTGAGGGTCCGTTTAGATGCAACTCGATCCTGATGTAAGGCCAATTGTCATCCAAACTGTGCGCATCAACCAGCGGAGACCCAAACGGGTTTCCAATGTGATGATATCGGTGGCGGTTGACTTTCGGATCTAAATGAGTCCAGTAGCTAATACCATTGGAACCTTTTTTTTTTTTTCGTTTTTGAACCCAAATTTTAATGTTAATCTAAAAATACCCTCACATCTTTTTTTTTTTTTTTCATTTTGATTTATTATTATATAATAAATTAATAAATAAGTATTATTAATAAATAAAATTTATTTTATTTATTATTATTTTAAATTATTTATTAATAGAACGATTATTTAAAATAATTTAATAATTTTTAATAACTTATTAATTTTATAAATGTTAAATATTTAAAATTTTTATTGAATATAATTTTTATTCTAATGTTCTTAATAATCAAAATTTTTCATTATAATTAATTTTATTGTTATCATTATTTTTACATTAAAATATATAATTTATTATTTATTTTAATTTCACTATTACAATAACTAATTCCATATTCATAATTATTTTAAAGTTCACGAGCTGAATTCAATCCTAAATACTTAATCCTTTGATAAAACCACTCAACCATGGAACACAATTTCCCATTACCCCACCACACAAATTTCGAGCAAAGCACCTCCTCATGGAATAAGATTTACCAATTTTATCACTGAAATTTTAGCTACCTTTAGGTTTTTCATATCTCTTGTGCTCGAAATCAATGTAATGCATTATTGATTTACATATTAAAAAAATTTTAATGTATGATTCGTATGAATTCATTTTTTATACAGCGTGAATTGAATTTAAAACTCCACAAATCATATTAAAATGTTGTCATATATCTCATTAGTTTTTATATAAATTTATTATATTTTAAAATATATTTTAATAATATATATGAGGAAAGATCAATTTATATAATATAAAACTTTTTTAGATTTACATTGTTTTTTTAATCATTAATTTTAATATATTCAAAGGATAAGATTAAACTATTTTTTTTATTTTTACTTGTGTCTCTCATCATTGAATCTATTAAAATTAATAGTTAAAAAAATTATAAAACTAAAAGAGTTTA